CTTCCATCTTTTTCGCTACATATCTTCACATGATTTCGTTAAGTGACTTAGGTTTTATGGTCTTTAATAACTGAAAAAACCAAGGAGTGTGATTTTTGCCTTGACTTGAACGGACTTCAATAGTTGCTGCTCACATCGCGATTTTAAAAGGATCAAATTGTAGCATTTTTCACCTGTTCCTTAAATACCTCATTTTTTAAAGGGTGGCGATACCCTTCTGTGTAGTCCTTCAAATGTCGGGAAATTCATATGATTTTTGAATTTTTTTCCTCAAAAATCTTTCAGTGTAATAACGAATCAATATGAACTCATATTGGCATACTTTAACAAAGAAGTGCATGATTGCATGCCCTTGTGTATCACTTAGATTGTCGGATAAGTTCGTGCCATTTTTTTTCAGCATCCTAAGAAACTGGAAGTTTTGACAATCATTATATACCACTTAAAGAAAAAGTCATCCTTTACAAGAAAGCCACTTGGCTTACCCAGTTTTTGGACTGTTTTGATTAAAGTGATTAAAGTTGTAAGTTTAGAGGACCGAATAAAAGCTCAACCGAAAGGTTGCTTTTTGTAATGCCAGAAGCTTGAAAATTGCTTTAATGCTACTTTGTAGAATTATTTCATATGAATACGATAAACCATATCCATTCTACACGATAAGGCCTTGTTGAAGGATTGCAATAGGTATACGCTGCAGGGCAAAATCACGGATCCATCTGAAAAGTGGTTTAGCCGGGTAAACATGCTAATTTCAAAAATAGTTCCCAAACCGCATGATAAGACTTCACTGTGAAATTAGGATGGATGCGTGATGGTAACGCCAAACACTGGAAAATGGGAAATGAGTGATTTCTTGTTTACAGCGCGAAATGTCTTTACCATGGGGAATGAATTCGGTATGCCGGTAAATCCCAGACACTTTTCAAATGAATCAGTAAATTTGACTCTGAGCCATGTATTAATATAGTCTACCGCGGGTGATGGCTATGATTTTCGTAATCAGCATAACCGATAACTCTTCTAAAAATACACAACCACTTTTAGTTCAACAAACCCAAAATCTTTGAACCAACTAGTCGCACTATCTTGCGGAGTTAGAAAAGGGAGACTTTTTCTTGAGATATTTGTCATATGTTGCCAAAATATTCGGTTTGCTTTTCAAACATTTTTTTCTGAACGAAACTTTTTTGTATTTATTTTTTATTGGGGTGTTTGGATCTCCGAAATCAAACTTCTGCCTTTTCATAGGAGACAATTAAGCGGTTCATCACATACATATTTTCTTTTGCACACT